GCTAAACTATGCACCATAAATTGACGCTAGAATGCAGACAGATTAAATGACAGCTGTCATTGGTGTAATAAAGTAAGATGGCTGACTTTAAATGTCAAAAAGTAGACTAAATTAATAACTTCATACTATGGTCAATCGGTTTAGGAGGTTAATTGTAGGTAAAGAATCTTGATATGACTTTTTTTATATTGAAGATGTCGTGTAAAATTCATACAAAGATTGACTGCTGACAGATTACTGGTGAGGGTAAATCCTCTACTAACGTGGCCCACAGTTGTTCTCCATGGCCTTCAACGTGTTAAATTTAGTTTATTAGCGAACATCGATTTAGGTAAATATCCAAATAAAAAAAAACATACCATTTTTGACAACTTTTAGATAAAAAGACATGCCAAGATTGTTTGCCCATCATTTGTTCTTTTTTTTACAACTTGTCTCTGCATTTTTCTCACATAAGGGATACTAAATATTATATAACTTTTGAAATTGTAAAACAAATATTTTTTAAAAACAGTAACGATGGAGATTCTTGCTCGTTCTTCTCCATTCGAATCTACAATTTGGAATGAGCACCTAGCTTCACTGACGAACAGACTGACAGACTACTTTTCTATTTTGACGTTTCAAAAGTACCTATTTATGGTTTAGTTAGAAAAATGATTTTGACTTTGACTTTGTTTTAATTTTTTTATGGGATAGGTCGGCAAACGTGCTGACGGATTACCTGATGATAAGCAATCGACGCCGCCCATGGACACCCACAACACCAAATGAGTTACGAGCGCATTGCCGGCCTTTTAAGGGTTTCGGATATTTAAGGATTTAAAAGGGCCTCTGGTAACCTCACTCACACGACGAAACACAAAGACGTTATGGTTGTATCACTCATTCACTACGAGATGACCCAACCGTGCCGAAGTATGGCTCTCCCACATTTGTGTTTATTTAATTTCATTTAGTTAATTACCATAACCAATAGACCATAGTATAAAAATAGTCTGGAGTTCTTTTGAAAACTTCTAGTGAAACCTACAACGCTTTTAACGTTGCAAGGTGTCTACAAGCTGTTAGGTACTTTGTGTGTCAGCGGAAAATACATGTGGATGTGCATGGCGTGAATCCGTCGACGCGCGCAAGCGTTGCAGTCACCAGATTTGGACGCATATAATGACAATACAGTAGCGAAATTATTAGTAAGACTAATATCTATATATATGTTCTTTATGGAAGACCAAGATAACTTTTAGCTAGGATAAATACTCGTAAGCTTAAGTTTACACGTATTTACTCAATTACCTTAGGGGTCAAATTATCATTAATTTTCTGGACAAAACCTTTTGTTCACAGGGCGAAGGATTGAGCATTAATCACCACCTAGCTAAGGTAGGAGATTTAATTATTATAATTTGAATTAAGTCTAAAGCCAAAAACAATGACCTAGCCATAATATCCTTTACTATTAATAATGAAAAAATCTCGAAAACGATATATTTAAGGATAACGAGCATGGTTTTTGAACAAGACAAGCGGAGCCAAATGAGGCAATTTCAGACAAAAAAAATGTATCCTAAACGTCAATTCGTCTTTTCGTAGTCTGGTCAATGTCCTCGCGTATCATTAGTATGGCGTCTAAATCTTGTGTGGGAGGATTAATTCGTTGGTTTAGCAACCTGGGCCACAGACTGGTCGCCCACGAAGACCAGATAACTTATCTAATTGTTCGTATGGCATTTTAAACTCGTTGTCAGATTACCCGTAGATGCTTATTACTGTAAATGATATTGCTTTTTTATTGACAGTTGATTGCTTCGTTGGTCGATTCGTGTGCAGTGTCCAAATATGATTGCCGAAGTTGTCAAACACCCGGACTAATTAGTACTATTTGGGTTATCTAGTCAATGTTTGAAAGTTTTCTTTCAAACATTGACTAGAAAAAAACTGTGTCTTGGACTGCGTCTTATCCCAAATAAAAACTCATAATGGCCAGTACTTAGCGAAATGCAGAGGCCGTTCAGAACAGTGTCTCAGGACATAAGGGGATTACTTGGATATCTTCTCAGCAATAATTAAGATGGAGCCGGATTGGAGTTTTTTTTTATTTGTAATGCTATTCCGCTCGTCTGTGAGCGACAATGCGACTTACGAAGAAGCATGCCTGTCTATTAGCAACCTATTCACTTGGGCTTTGAAGATAGCCAGAATATACCTGCGATGAATACTGAATTCAGCAAAGAATAGGACTCCTTCACGTCGATTCTATAAAATTTGTTTGATTTTGAATCTTGTTCGAGTGTGAAGTGAGCATCGAAGTGACGGGGAAATTACATTATAGAATGCCACTTTTAACGTCATCTCATACTTTATCTATCAAAATGTTGCTGTCAATTTAGTTCAACTCGCAAGTGTAGCGCTAGTGTACTACTACTCACAACGGATTCAAATTAAAAGTTTATAATGAAGTCTTATAGAATCACACTTAGCGATTCTGATGATAAAGTTGGAGGCTTGAGGAGTAAAATTCAAAACGAACCAACCCTGATCTGCAGCCTAGTTTTATAAGAAAAATAGGCTTATTTATGCAACATTGCGTAAAAATTTCAGCCAAACGTTGCAAATTTATGCAGTCGTTGAGAAATTTTTATAGCAATATGAAATAAGGTCAGTATGTGAAGAAAATGGCTTGAACCTAGGAAATGCTGTCATAAATCTAGCTGAACTGATGCCCAGTTGGAATGTAGCCACGAAAACCGCAGTTAACGGCTCCATGCACTGAAAATACGTTGGTTTCATAAAATTTTGAGGTTATTCCGTGTTTTGTTTTGATATTTTAGTGTTATGGCGTGCATTGTGACATAGTTTTGCTTGAATTGAGTTTTATTTTACGTCATCATTATCAACCTTTACTATGTCATCAGCCAACAAGGCTTGGAATTCTGAAATATCCTCATTCAACGATGGAGTATTATTTTAAGATTATAATTTTAATCACACTTGAAGTGTCTTGTATTGGCTTCATTAACTAAAAGAGGTCAAGTATGAGTGCAGCTCCGAAAAATAAACTTATGTCTTAATTAGTTTGGTGTTTTTCATGTACCTGCAGCGAGAATGTTTAAAAAAAAGGTAGGTAAAGTTAAGGTCTCTTATCAAGTCCATTCTTAGTTAAATGTGCTGATCAACTTTGTGGTGACTCGTCGCGTCATACGAAAGTATCTTAATTCGAAAAAAGTCATAGGTTTCGAACCCATACCTTCATACATGAGAAGCGCGCGTTACTCTATACTAATATTATAAAGTGGTAAAATTTGTAAGTTTGTATGTAAGGGGTAATCTTTGGAACCGCTCGTCGCATTTCCAAAATTCTTTCACTAATTGATAGCTACAATGTTCGTGAGTGCTATAGGTTGAAAACATCACGCTACAATCAAATGTAGCTAGTACCTTATAAAAGACGAAATAGGGATGTCCGATAAAATTTGAACTTATAGGTTCAACGATTCTTTTGTTTCTTTTTTATCAAAATGTAACTTATTGATAAGAATAAGTTATTTCCTGTGTGATGTAACTGTTATTTATACTAATGGCTCTGTAGGTGATTCTTTATTGACAAAGATAATATTACATTTCAAATTCTCCGAAACTGTAAGCGTGACAAAACTTTTTTTTCAACCGACAAATGGTTTATGGTAGACGTGCACGGATCACCTGATGGTAAGCGATCAGCGCCGCCCATAGACACCTGTTGTTACACAGGAGGAGGACGTTTTCAGCTTCTTCATGGCTAGCTGTTTTCTCGTCAGTCATGGGTGCGTTCACAAACACACAAAATCACATACACAAGCCACCCAGACCCGAATTACAAAGGGTTGTTCCTTGCTAGAATGGAATCCGCGAAACGTTGCACAGTGGCCAGGCCACTGCGTCAATCGAGCAGTCTTAGTAGCCGTGTAAAAGGATTTGAAGATTTTTCTGTGCAATGATGAACAGGAACCTGTCAGTTTGGAACTAGGAAGGAACGGGTTGGTTTTGGTTAATTTCTAATAGTCTGATACTTTCTCTGACCGACCCAGTGTTTGAAGCAAGATAAAGTACGGGTGGGCACTTCCTCCCACCTCACGACATTTGAAAAATAAATCGAATCAAAATGCATCTATACTTAAGATTCCTTTTTCTCTTACTGTCACTGCAACTTTTTTCAATTCTAATAAGTTGTGTATCGAAATAATAGATGTTTAACTTTAACAATAACGTTGCCCCACTTTAGGATTTTCTCCTGTGTTGTGGCTGCGTTTACAAACATACAATTTCACATACACATGACACCCAGACCCGAAACAACAATTTGTGGATCACACAAATTGTTGTTCCGTGCGGGAATCGAACCCGCGACACGTTGCACGGCAGCCAGTTGCCCAGCCACCGCACCAACCGTGCAGTTAGACTAAACAATTATATGATATTAAAAAATGTAAGTATAGTATTTTTCAACATATGTACTTGTTACTTAGTGTGCCATTACTAAAAAAAATATGAGCAGTAAACAGTTGATATTCATATAATTATATGCATTTTAAAGCTTTTTGACCTGATTTATTACGTATTTCTGCACTAAAAGTTCAAGTAAACATTTTTATACTTAGTTACCTAAGGGTTGATATTTCAATAGTCAGATAAAAGTGATCTGAGGAATTAAATTTGTTGCTGTCACTTTCTGATACAAACATTCTGACGCGACAGCATCATAATTAGTCCCCAGGTAACTTTTATCTAACCATTGAAAAATCAGCGCTTAATGGCGCAGGTACCAAAAAAATGCCCGCCAAAATTAGCCAGTATGGCTGCCGATGTTAATAAAAACACACAAGTTTTGTTAATACATTTTATTAATGTCTGATTGTTATGCATACAACTATTGTTTGTTAAGTTAAACACACAAATGAAACCAATAAAATTAATGTTAATCACACACATTTATTATTTTATTTTTATTAAATTATTTTTACCTTCTTATCCACCTAAAAAATCGATTGCCGCCTTTCTTCGCGCCATTTTTCTTTTTCTTTCCCATTTTTTTCTAAAATGTATCATACGGCACAAACACTTTATATACACTATGTCTTTGAAAAGAGTATGTAATGTCACTATTTTAGTTTTCAAAAGCACTACGATCACTTAATCGTCACGAGTTTCTGACCGATACAGGACCCTATTTAGGCTCTTAAAATCAATAAATTAAACAATTAGAAACCAAAATTAGTATTTAATCCCAAAACCAGTTAATAACAGAAGCGTTTATTTACAAAAGAGGTTTGTTATACAAGAATATTTACCAATATGGCGGGTGTATAGTCTATGATTTTGTATTCGAAGCGCACGTTGTGGCACGCGCGCTCGCACTGACTTGTGCGGTGGACGAAATTAGACGCGAAATAAAAAAAAGTAACGATAGATGCACATCTCGAGAAATGCAGCGGTGATTTTATTTTGGTACAAGATCTGAAGAGATTATTACGACTTTGTCGACTGCATGCCCTTTCACTAGGGAGTTAATTTTAATTATGAACTTTTCCGAGTAGAAACATATTATGTGCTTTTTCAAAGAAAAACAATATACGTAAGTGGCCTTCTTTTCAACAGGCTTTATGCCAGAAAAAATATTTAGTATGTGTAAATCAATTGCCTTCCGCATACTTATAATGCAAAACAGGATAATAATTTTCCGCGTCCTAACCTATCATGCAAGCTTGCAATAACCAAAAGTATATCTGCTGTATATTATTCATAAATGAATATTATACATATTTAAAAAAGGAACGGATTCCCGAAACCAAATTTATTTTAATTTATATTACAATAAATTTCAATAACAAATTCTAAAGCTAGCGAAGTTACCTATCTATTAAAAACAACATAGCGTCTGATACATTAATTATTCCGTCTTTATTTTTAAACTAACCGTTTCAAGAATTTGGTTTATACACCATATAACATTCCTGTCATGTAGAATAATCCCAAAAAGTAAAAAGGGCAAATGTAAATACATATATTTAGATCCAATGCAGTGAGTCAGAGAGATCTAAAAATGACGCGAAGTGATCTCGTTCTGATGTAGCAAACGATATAGTCTTAATGAAAATCACGTTGAAACCATTAAAGTAAACTTATAGAGTAAACTAAACGTTTCTTTGAGATTTTTTATCTGTGAATCATTGAGGAATTTTGGCGGGAATTGATTTAAACGAGATTTTTAGGTTAAGTATGAACATTTTGCTGTCGAAACTTTCAACGCTTAAAGTGGAGTTTAAAATGAATATGGGTTGAGATACGGTTTAAATAATACTAAAGAAATATCTTCGATAATGTACACAATCTTTTACAAATGTTAAAAAGCTTTCGTTTGTTTTTTTTCTTTGTACTATCTGATTAGTATTTGACATTGTCTTTGCGTTGAAAAAAGACGTTTTAGTCGAATGGCTATTAGTATTTTAGTTCTTATGTTGTATTATGGCACTTCTTTGTAAGAGAGAGTTTGTTAATCTCGACGTTTGCCAGGTGAATTGCTGATCACAAGTCCAGATTTATATAAGAGACCTACAAATGTCCTTGAATCTTTCGGTACCCACGGAAAGGATAGTGGTAGTACTGCCATCAAACGGCGAACCGAGATTAGTCAAAGTATATTTACAAATAGGAATCATTAGGAATATCCCCGTTGGTGGGTTATTTCAGTCGTTTCCTCATTCTTATCGAAATTGGACGGTGCCCAAACGGTGTTGCATCATAAGTGACGTCATAATGTTTACATTTTTGTTGTTTTGACACTATTTTGCAATGCAGATGAAAATGCATTAGAATAGGGTTTCTTTTTGAGTGGGGTAAATCATCTAATGACTTTTCTCCCTCTGGGAGTGTAGGATTTCGACATTTAATTATTGACATTTTTTTTGATTTTTGATTGAATTAAGAATTGATTCACCCCGTTTCTTCTCCTGCTCCAGGTCGAGGCCGCGGTACATAACAATTTACAACTCATTAGTGTAGAATTGAAAGAGATTGAAATCAATAAAGCTTTCTAAAAAACAATATGATTTCTTTTTTATTTTACTAAAAGGATCTCCTGATACTGATGAAGCTATCAACGCCGCCCATAGACACCCGAACCAACACAAGAAGAATTATTATTATAAGTGCAGAATCACTTTAATTCGTGCAGAAGCTCGCATGGGTCTTCCACGTGAATCAGATTTATAATTCAGCTGATTTTTATTGTAAGAAGTTTTTTTATTAATAAAAAATAGTTAAAACCCCTGTTTTACGAATAGAGTGAATAAAATTGGTGTTAGTCTTCTTATGCATGAGGGCTGATGATGTGATGTGTGTAAAACAGGGGTAGTAAAAAGAACGGGTGATGGTACCTACGTTACCAAGAAGGCCACAATACGTGAAAGCGGTATCACTCAGCTAAAAGTATTTTATCTGTGGGCCATTAACTTAATTGGACAAAATAGGCCACTTCCATTACTTATTCCATCGAATCTACGTGTTTATCGGTCAAACCCATTACTGAAATCATTGTTTGGTTTAAAAATTAATGTTATCTATATGTTTAAAAACAGCTTAAAATAGCAAGCACACTTTTTTTTGAGAAAAGTAGTTTTTATTTGTTGTTTTTAGGAAGTATTATAGAATAGTCGTTGAAAATTTGTCAGGTTTTTTTTAGTTTTTTGAATAGAACTGATCATTTTATAAAACAAATTATTGATCAACCTTCCTATGTGTTTCTTCTAATTATTGTAGGTTAACGAGCCCATAAAGACTCTCTTTTCATCTTTACAAAATCAAAGACATCTGAAAACCATAGCTAACCGTTGCCTTTTGCGAACTTCTTTAGTCATGGAACTTTAAAATAGGCATAAATAAAATAAAACACTACTTGTTCTGAAGAAATGTCAAAGGAAGAACAACCAGCATACTCAGACCTGTCTGTAAATATAATTTACGTGATGGAAGAGATTGTTGTACAGTGGTTACACTTTCGCGCGTAGAATGAGTTGACATGCGTTCCATTTTGAAATTATGGTTCTTTTGTTCTTTTTAAAATATGTAGGTTTTATGCGTTTAGTTTATTATTGTTTTTCCTTAAATAATTTTAAGTAGAATATTAAATAATATAGTTTGTTTATTTTTGTTATTGGGTACTAGCTTCTCAATCTGTTTTTATTGTATTTAGGAAGATTAAAATTACACTCCTTTTAACCGCAACTTTTCGATCATCGATTACCAATATGAATAGAAAACTCCGCGAAAACCAAACAAAAGATCACAACATAAACAAATCACTTCAACACTCTGTACGTTTCAACTAAAAATCGTAAAACGCGCCACAAAAATAGCACACCGGCCCGCTCTATTAATAACAAGATGGTCGCCGCGTTTGACGTTTAATTTTTTTTTTAATAATAACCGTATTGTCTTCGAGCACATATCCAGAGTCCTGCAGCGTCAGTCAATCGCAACTATTCCGCGGCAACTGACTTAAAAGATGGTAGAAATGTACGCTTTTCGGGGAACTCGAAATGTTTAATTATAGTACTCTATATATATGTGAAATCTTTGATATAGTATGCGCACGGTTCGAGGATAAAACTGATTTATTGAAGAGCAGACGTTGCCATATTTTATTTTATGGTGTAGTAGAAACTTTTTGGTGGTGCAGTTGATTTATCACTTTTTTTACTTTTCAGTATGTTTCTTTATGATTTTGCTAGACAAAAATATTAAAAAGAGTAATAATAATATTATTATTATAGAAATTATTTTCTTGCTCGTTGTCCATTGGAATCTACGCGTTGGAACCAGCAAATAGCTTCACTAGAGGACTGACACAAAAAGTTGAACTATTTGTATTTTTTTTTTGTTTGACAGTGATCTATTTGAATTAAATGTTTTGATTTTTGACTTTAACTATGAAAAAAATGCACGTATCTAAATTCGAGATGCATATGTCAGTAAAATACAATCTAGAGAACGCAGATTTTCTCAAAATGGCTGATAGTGGTTGGATGCAAGATCTAATTGAGTGAAGTGCCATTAGAGAGCCCTATTACCTAAAAAATTTACATTGCATTCAGTATTTTCTCGAAGATAAACACCTTATTACAATGCAACCAATAATATGTACCTATAACTGGTGAAAAGTGAATGTATGAGGCCTTCTCCGGGAAGTAAAAGTCATGAACGTTCACACCTTTTACATAATTATGGTTATACATATAATACTCTTCCGTATCTCAGTGATTCGGTAACTGAAAACCAAAATTCTGGTCGTAAAACACTCCAATTAATTATGTAGGTTTATCAAGAAATCATGACCATTTCTTAGTTTTAAAAAAATTCTGTGACTGTATGCACAACAGATTTTTTGTGGCCTTATTATAATCTACATGTTACTTATAATCTACACACATTATCATTGTCATTATGTGCTTTGCTTGTACTTAGCATTTTTTTGCCTCAAGATTCCTTGATGGCAAGCAATCTGCACTCTTAGATACTTGGAACACCAGATGTGTTACCAGCCTTTTGGGAATTAGGGATTCGGAGATTTAGTGGTTGAGAAGGCCGAAACATTACTCTCCCATAATTATTGATTATATAAATACAGAAACGTAAAGTTTACCAGTTTAAAAAGACGCATCAAGCTGTTGCTGTTGTGCCTGGCAATTTTTGATGAAAACATTGCAAAGGCGCCGAATTTTTGGGGGGAAAGAAAAGGTAATGGTAGTCAATTAATCTTGAATATAAGGCCCAATTCTTCCTTTACATAGACTAAAAAAATATAAAATTTTCACCCTACCTACATAATCTTATTACAGGTAAAAAAAGTGCAAAAAGTTCTCAATATTTCAAATATACTGCAAAATTCAATGTCGTCCTCACTTAGTGAAGATTTTTGGCAATAGCTTCTAAATAAATACGAACGCACTGCTTTACTGCGCCAGATCATGATCAAATTATTTGCTCAATCCGAACTAAACGACCATCAAATGAA